ATATATATATATATATATATATACATAAATGAAAAATAAAAACTTAATCAGTTGGGAAAATAAATGATTTGAAGAGATAACCAAATACTAGATTCCCATTTATCCTATCTGCAAAAGATTTTATCTTCTAAAAAAATACCTACTTAAAACCAAAAATAACCAAACAAAAATGTTAATATATTTCAATATATTTTTAATATCTTATGATTTTTATGATATATAGAGTGATTTATACCAAAGGATGAAAGGATGAAACTTCCTATTAGACTGTTTACATTGGATTTTAGTTATTTTTCTGCCCTTTTCCAAAAATAAATAAATTATAATATACCAGAAAAGCTAAAAACATGAAATATTAAAAATTTGTGCAAATAACCTATTAAAAGATCTCTATATATTATATAAAACTAAACTTTAAGAAGGGAGGTCCGGTACTGCAAACCCTTTTCCATACACTTCTCTACATGTTTTTCTGTCTCCTGTATGTGAAACTATTTCCTTTATTCAGATTCACTGCTGTGTAGGAACCCTGACCATGAATGAAAGTGAGAAAAAAAAGGCATGAGAGAACAAATCCCCCCCTCTGGATCTCTGTGTGAGCATGAGCAGGCATGTTTGTGATGTGAAAGGCTCCATTCAGATGGAGACACAGAGGCTTCTCCCAGTCAGATCAGTAACAGCTAACTGTCCAGCAGATCCTGTTTCTGTGCACAGGTCAGCTTTACATCTACAGGTTGGTGCCCTGCTCTGTATCACTGCTGACCTGCATGGCTTCTTAGGATTTCAAATAGGAGGTTCTTTTTTTCCAGGACATCAATACATTAAAACCATTTTTCTTTAAAGCTAAAATATAACTTCCAGAGAGCAGGGACTGTATGTGTCTTTTGCAAAACTCATACCCAGTCTAAAAAAAAAAAAAAAAAATCAAGGTGAAAGGTGATACACATGTGCAGAACCTTCTCACAAATGGAAAACTGTTACATATACAAATTAAGATCCAAATAATAAAGGTAAATGTACAAGATTTAGAGGTTCTATCCATTTGACAATGTGTTTGAAACCTTTGTTTCCTTGTATTTTAAACCATAAGAGTTTTAAGATTGCTCTGTTTTATACACACAGGATTTGAGTTTAAACTGTGAAAAAAGGCTTTAAATACATCTACTTTTTTTCAGTTGAACAAAATGACATAAATCAAGCAATGAGAGCTTTGAAAATGTTCCACTGTCTGTTCAACTGCACTTATTTAATATTCTTGTGGTTCAACAGACCTGAATCAAAAGAAAGGATAATTTTGAGACCTCCAGTTACTGAGGAAGTGTTGGAGTTGAGGTATTTCTGCATCCGAATAACAATTTCAGAACAGATTTTAACATGTTTGGGGTCATTATCTTCTTAAAAGACTAGATATGAGGCCAAATGAGGGAGTTTAATTTAAGATGCCCGCAGCATCACGGATCCTCCACCTAATTTAACACTAAAACTGAGGTTGTTCCACATATGCATTCTTTTACTGTAGGATTGTAAGATTTAAACCAGGGAACCTTTAGCCTCCCCCAAAAAAATGTGTCCTTCTTTAACCACTACGCCACCAATTCCCCTTCTCAACCAAGGATAGCCACTCAGACATTGAGTTTGATAGAAAGTAGGACCAGTGACTTACAATGCTTTCACTACAAATCTATGGAAGGTTTTCAACCATCCCAGAGAGTGTCTACTGGGGCGGATCACACAGGTGTGACACTGAAACGCCCAGAAAACTGTGCCCTGTCACATGACCCTGGAGCAGTTCCCCTGCAGTGTGACAGCTGCCTGTCCCAGCGTACCAAAAACAGGAGCCGAGGATGTGATGTAAGAAGGATGCATTTAAGTGGAAGAAGAAAAAGAAGACAGAGCTCAAATCTAAAATAACAAAAGAAAAATGTCTCATGCTGCTACTTAGAGTATTGAAGAGCTGCAAGCACAGAACTATACACCAAACAAACCCTCTGTAAATTGTTTTGCTCTGCTCCATCAGCTCATAAATTCCCCTCAAGCCATCTGTTGCACCAGCATGATGTTCTTAGGCCCAAACTAACAATCTCTCTGTGAAAGCAAACTCTGGAAAGTGAAGGTGAGCAATTTTTAACTTTAACTCTAACCTGGTCTGATTCCTGGACTGGACCAAACTGCCTCATTAGTGATCATAATGATCCTATCAGTGTAACTGTTCCAGCCCCAAGCCTGCTAAAGGACCATAACCCTGACCCCTTCAGGGGTTTCTTTTCTATCACCTCCTCTTTCCCCTCTGAACAAATGACTGCGTCTCAGTGGATCCATCTGAGAAACTCCGGAAGTCTGCAGATGACACCGCTCAGAATCTCCTGAAGCTTCATCGGCTAAAAGAAATTAAATCTTTAATGGAGAGCAACCCTCACGCCGTTCCCTCTCAGCATCTTCAACAACACTGTGTTCACTGTTCCTTGAGGTGTTTCTGCCACACAGACTGCTCAGAGAAAGACCCAGCAAAGACTGTAATCCCTGCAGCAACTCAAACAAATCAACCTTCCACTGGAAGGTTATCCTCTACATCCACAGTATTCAGTCTGGTTCATGCATTTCCATCTGTGTGGAGTTTGGCTCATCTACAGAACTGGAAAGGTCCAAACTGTCATGACTAATCGGGTCTGCAGAAAGGATCATAGCTGCTGGCTTTCCCATCCATCAGCTGGACAATACTAGGCTCCGAAAGGAGCAACTAGCAACTCTACAGACACCACACATAGATATTTACCCTCAGGTCAGCGCTAAGAGTGCCATCTATTTGCACTTTTACAATCTGTTCACTTTTTAATGAAAAAATAAAAATAAAAACATGCTACATATGCTCACTTGTACATTCTGCTTTTAATCATGTCCTTTCTAACCCTTTCAGGTTTCTTTCTACACTGTGGTTGTAGTTTGAACTGTTTGTTAAAATATGATATATGAGAGGATAACTAAAGCCAAATTCCTTGTTTATTTTATCAACACATACTGATTCTGACAACAGGGAAGAGGAGGAGAACCGCTCACATTATGAAGATGGTGGTAGCAATGAGCGAGGCGGTGAAGAACCCTCGGTGGCAGTCGGCGTTTTTCCTCTGCCTCTGATGCATCTCACCTCCACAGTTGTCACAGCATCGACACATGCAGAAACAGGTGGCAACGATGGGGGTGAGGATCACAAACACGATCCCAAAGACCGTGCATATTAAGAATCCAGACTCATAGTGGATCCACTGCAGGGGAAAAGAAGATTTATCAGTAGACTGTTGGGTTGCAGCTTTGGATGATATTATAGGAATAAATGACTTTACCTGTAGCAGCAGGACAACGTTGTCTGGCTGTGTAATCAGAGAGAGAGCCGTTGGAAAACAGAAAAAAAGAGATCACAGCAAAGACATTGTTTGCCTTTTGTTCAATAATTGAATAGAAGTAAAGCTCGTCAAAGATAAGACTTTATAAATCTTGATCAAAAACCTTTGAGCTTGAAGGTTATCCTTAGTGTATTGGCAGTTGCTGTTGTTTGTAATCTTTTAAAGTTGTCTTGATTTCAACCAGTGGGTGTTCCTTACTGTCTATCTGTTAAAACACCTGACTGACTAATTATTGGCAATTTTCACAAAGTAGTGATGCTACCAGAAATCTCAATAGCAGTTTATTGGGTTTTCATGAGATTTGAGGTAACCTTGCATCAACATGCTTTCAACCCTTTATTCACCCTGTATGAACTGTTTTGCTTGAAAAAGAAATCCAAATTAACTACCCAAGGTGTTAGTAATGTGTTAGTGATGCCACAAAAGGTGGAAAACCTGAAGGGTGTGAATATTTCTGTAATGATTTCTTTAATAATGGCAGTCACTGAGTAAAGGACACTTTTTGTATTGAATCATTTGGCTTGTAGTTTAAAAGGCCAAGGCCAATTTCTTGAGCTGCACTGCAAAAAATCTAATCAAATAATTTTTGTTTAAAATAAGGGATTTTTTTTTCTTGAATTGAGCAGGTAAGTGAAACACTTTGCCAACAGAACGGCAATTTATATATAAAATAAGAAAAAACTATTGCATTGTCTTATTTTAAGTGCATAATATCTAATTATCTTACTTTAGGAGTAAATATACTCATTCCACTGGCAAGTCATCTTATTTACCTACTGCAATTAGGGGGAAATACACTTAGTTTTAGAATTTTTTCTAGATTGTTTTTGCAGTGTGAATTTGGATAAAGACAACAGAAAACAACAGAGACAATTTACCTGTAAAAAGATGATGTAATGTATCTGCAATGTAATGAATCTCTAGATTTCTGTCCTAATGCGATGCTGTTTTTCTTTTGGAAAGTTGGTTTCTATATATTAAGCATGCATTCTACAGTATGCTGTTTACAGAAGTTGCATAACAATTTAGAGGAAACTAGCCTAAGTCTAAAAAATAACTTTAAAAGGCTTCCAGAAAAGCTGGAAAACTAACAGCCAAATACCAGAAACTCCGCCCAGATGACAGCAAAGTAAAGTTAATCAAAACACAAAGTGCTTAGCTTTAATAAGGAATGGAATATTAAGTTCTTACTGATGCTTTTAACTTGAAAACCAACATACCTTTCTCCATTCTTCTATTTTAATTCCTCCCATGTTTTGCTGTATGATTCTAACAATAAGATCTGAAACAAAAAAAATACAACATTAATGAAGTGCTTTAAATCTGTAAAAAAAGAATAAACACAGATTCAGACGCAGATCAGCTTCAGTTTTTGGACGATAAGCGACACAGAAGTGGGAGGGGAAAAAATCCATTTATCTGCTCACAAACAGACAGGAAGGATAACATGGAATCAGTTTTTTTAATATCAGATGACAGTATTGTGATGATGTTTCCTCTTACGCCGAACAGCTGTGTGTTTACTGAGAGCTGTTTGAACCGAGCCAACCAGGACTTCAGATGAGCCCAGCTGTCTGTGTTTACTGTATCTAGGTCAGCTGACGCTAAGCCTACCTGCTGCACGTTGACTCACCCGCTCTGTTACTCAGCAGGTAAACTGATTCCCTCACACACACGTTCCAAATGGGGCTAGGACATTTGCACACATTAAATGTACGGATTGTGAAAAAGTTGCTGATTTGTGGGTCTTGTTTTTCATTACACTTGTTTCAGATCATCCCACCCCTCTGGGGATAAGAAGCATGGATTGTTCATGCATTTATTTAGACTTAGACTAACTTTATCGTCATTTTGTGCACACAGGGTGTAAACTAGATAAAATTTCTTTTAGTACAGCTCTCAAGACATTTCCAAGACATCTCGTTAGCCTATAGTCAGCACATAGAATATTTTTCCAATATTTTTCATTCATAAAGCAATCCAAACCAACCTGGCTTTTTCTTGAACATATATAACTGATTGTGCCTCCTGTGCTACAATAACATAATCAGTTGTTTAGGACTGATGGTAGTGAGAGTTTTTTCATTGCACTGGAGGAATCTTGCATCTTCTGTGCAGAAATAATTTTTATTTCAGATATATTGAAGGTTCTGTTTAAGGTCAGGCCACAGCATCTCAATCAAGGTGGACGTTTTATTATTATGACCCCGGTACCATAAATTCCTGAGCTTGTTGTCACAAACTGATAGCCAATACATTTCCCTTTAATCACTGATCTGTCAATTCCAGCAAGTCATAGAATCATGAAGGAGAAAACATTATTCCACCATCTCTACTGTATGTTTGAGTGCAGTGCTGTGATTCCCAAATCTGTCCGCACGGATCCCTGTTCTGCATATTTTAGATTTCTCCTTGGTGAATCAGACCAGGAAAGAGTGGCTGATAAACAGGCTTCTTCGGCACTTGATTGCAGAGGAGGAGCCCTAATTGAAATCAGGTGTGCTGGAACAGAGACATATCGTCGCTGTAGGAAAAAACCTTGTAACTCCCATTTTGGACAATTTTTTTTTTTTTTCATAAATTGATACAATTGGTCAGTCCCCACGTGTGAACGTATGTTTTGGAAAATATTAACCAATTAAAAGTGTTGAAAAAAGGTTGGGACTTAATCTCGTTACTCCATTGGACTTTTCCGCTGTCGCTGTTTTTACAATTTCATGTAAACTTTATGGTTTTGGACATACGAGGTTTCCGTCCGACAGCGACGATATGAAACATGCAGGGCAGGGGTCCCTGAGGACCAGGGATGGGAACCATTGGTATGGGTCTTTCTTGTTTTTGTTTTCTACAGCGCTGTTAGGAAGCACACCTTCTACAAACTTCCACTCGTCTCATCAGCTCATAAAATATTTTTAACCCTAACCTTTATGTCCCTTTTGGTCAGCAGTAATTTTCATCTTTGATGTCACTGTAGCCCAGCTTTTCTTTTTAATTAACTGTTTCATTATGATCACTAAAGTTATAAGGGCTTTAGACATTGTTCATGTTTCCTTTATAATCTTCAGAGGGAGGAAGGGAAACCAAAACTTATACTCAAGTAAGATGTGCGTGAAATAGCATGAAAAATGGGAATCAGGGGAACTACTCATGTTCAGGACTATGGAATTAAAAAGGGTTATAATTACATCATTTTAAATTCTTCTTTCACTGAATGAGGTTCAGGTAAGAACTTCTAAACATTAGTTTATGTCACAAAAAAAGTTTAAATCCACCCAACTAGAGGAAGAAGTTTACAGTTCAAATAAGTAAATAGGAGGGGGGGAAAATGAAAGAGAAACAGAAAAGATGAGACAGGGGAAGGAAGACAGGTTTTTAGGAACAAAAAACAAACAAAAGTAATGATAACAGTAAGAGAAAGCAGGACACAGTAAATGTTAGCAACAAAAATAAGATTTGGACATACAAGACTTGATCAGACACTTAAAGGTGTAGAAGAACAAAACAGAAAGTTGTGATAATTGCATGTGTCGTTGCAGGATCAAACCATACATGTTATATTGGAACATGTGAAATGTGAGCATGAATTAAGATTTATAGTATAGAATTTAAAAAGCTTTTGAAAAAAGAATAACATTGCCAGTGAGCTCATAGATGGTATAGGACAAACATTTACTAATTACTAACTTAGGTTTTTGCATGACAATATTGATTAATATAACCTGATACTCTAGTAGGCTGTATACATAAATACACTTAAGACAATAAACCATCATTATGACTCCAGACCAGATGATTGTAATGCATGCCTTCAGGTTTTTAATAACCCCTAAGAATAAGCAGATGAAGAGGAGGATTTACAGCTGATTTGGTTCCAGGACTGACAGCAAATTACATTCAGAAATCTCATCTTCTTTGTTCCAGTTGTTGCAGAAACAGCAGCTTGCCAAAGGTTACTAGCTCCACACTGAACGTGTAACAACTGTTACTGTGGAAATGCACATGCTATATTGGCTGTGTACGTAATATAAATGGTTTGTTGCATAATTACAACAATGGGCATCAAGGGATAAAAATCCCTCTTTAATAACAGACTTGTATTGTTTTTTTTTTGTTAATTTTCTTTAACTGATTTAGATCTGGAGAAACTAAAACCGGGGGGAATTTGGGAGTTAATGTTCACATCAATGCAGATACACCAAAACATCTCTCCACTTTTTATTTAGCAACAGAATAATTTATGTTTCATTCATTTTAAAAATCAGACCCTGCTGATTCATCATTAAGTGGGTAAAATCACCGGATCACATAAAATAACATTAAAAAAGTACATTTCTGAGCAGAAATATAAAAAAATTATTTAATTTTTTCTTTGATTAATTCATCTAAATCCAAAAAAATGCAGAAGGAGAAAATAAATAGAACAGCAGATGGAGACTGGTCTAGTAGATTAATGCTGACACAGTTGTCACAAAGACTCACCATCAGTAACTCCATATGGGAGTAAAAATAGACTTTAGGGTAACTCCAACAATGCTTAACAACAACCTTTTTACACTACAAAATATTACAATTCTTTGCACCCTTTACCTTTAGGTCCCAACATGTTCATATCTTCCATTACGTTTTTTTGGTTTTAGTTGCACTATAACACTATTTTTAACCATACTGCATTACTAGATTAACAGAGTTGTTTACTTTTGTCACACTATTTAAAGAAGACATCTGGGAATATGTTGCGCTTCTGTCTATAAATATTCAGGAGCTGCACCGATCAAGTGGTCACAGATCCAAATCTATCCCTTAATCTGTTTCTTACTGAAGTTAAAGCAGCTCTTATCAAATAAAAGAAAAGATGCACTGCCTAAGCTCCCTGGCTGAAAAAAAAAACTAGAAAAAAAAACAAAATTAAATTCAATGGCAGAGAGCCCTTTATCAAGCTTCCAATCTGACAGTTCACCAATTAAAGAGCCATCCACACATTTACAGTCGACACACTACAGAAAACAGTCAACAGAAAAACATGACTGAAATGTATGAAGAAAAGGTAATCAGGAAGGCTGAGTCCATTTTGGATAATTATACCCATCCCCTACACAACGAATTCCAGTTTCTATCCTCTGGTTCCTGTTTTAAATATCCACCAGTTCGGACCAACAGATACAAACACTCCTTTATTCCCTCTGCTATTCAGCTGCTAAACTCTACTAGGAAAAGCAGATAGCCATATGTTGCATCCCCTGCACTGTACATATATTTTTTTCTCTCTCTTTCTCTCTCTCTCTCTTTTTATCCACCTTACTTTTATCTTTTTAAAATATTTTTATGTGTTTCTTCTTTTATTTTATTTTTTATCTGTGATGTGAAATGTGAACGTGTGTGTGAAAGGTGTACTACTACTGCACAAAAATTGCCCATACTGGGACAAATAAAAAGCTACTGACACTAAATTTACCTGATTAATGCTCACATTTGCTAAATTAAAGAACTATTTAAAGAATGTTTGTGTTTAGCACATTTTTTCTATTTCTTGCCAAGTCTTTTTTCTTTTCTTGCAAGAAAACACACAGACACATAGTTTTTTTAATCATCCTACTCTCATTTATTTGATCTCAGTATAGCATTTTAATAACTGTAAAGGATACTCTCTTATTCTTACTCTCTACTTTTATGTTTTGAACTTTGTGGGAAGCTGCAGGTATACCTGAATTACCAACAGAGGGACATAGAGGATAATTCTCCTGTGTTCAATTAACGTAGTTCTCAGGTGAAACACATAAAAAAGGTTCTCCTTCCAGTTTTCTAGATCAATCAAAACTGAGAAAATTATTCAACATTACTTACACGATTTCAGCTTTACGAATCAATTGACATTGTGTATTTTCTTGGCCCTACTGGGCTTCATTTGACGGTATTCTCACACGATATGGGTTTGAGAGAAAGAAGACTTGCAGCAAAGGGTCCACATGCCAAGACTTATAAACCTGGGATGGCCCATTCAAAGACTAAGGCCTCCAAACATGTGTAACTGCTTCTACTACTGCCCCAAACCTGGCTAATTAAAAAAAAAAAGTTAAGGTAAAGGTTGGGATCATGCATAAATAGGAAAAGTCTTGAAATGAGCTTATATTACCGGTACGTTGGATTAAAAACTTCTTCCTCTGTTGAAGAACCTGCAGCTCTGTACTACATTTTGTGTTACTGCTTTAAATTAACGCTGTGCAACAATTTCCACTTTTTAGTGCCTGAAATTGATAACTGCATTCACATACCGGTATATGTTTT